GACGTTCCCAGCAGACCCTCACTACACGTTTGGGCCTGCCAGGTCTGACCGTCTTCCTCCCCCACCACCGGAGCCAACTCACCAGGTGCTAGTGGAACAAAAAGGTGGGGAGATTGCCAAAGGCAGAGGGTTTCAGTGTATTAGGGTGGTACAAAATGTCAGAAAAATTGGTGTTAACTACTAAGATATTTACTCTGGAAAGAGTTGAACAAGCCAGGTGAGATACACCTTTCATTCTCCTGGTGTTGAAGTTAGACTGTTATTAGCTAGACTGTTCATCTGCCAACTAAAAAACTTAAGACGTTTATTTACTGTTGTTTGCGAACACACCATAACTAGGTGATCACTGTACAGTTGCAGTAGCCTATGGTCAATGAGAAAGTTTTTATATTTAAAAATGTTGAAATTAGGTATGATATCTGCAAGGTGGAGGAGCCAAGGTGAGCTGTATCTACTATTGTGAAAATAACAGAAACTTCTATTAAAGTTAGAAGACTCCAGAGTGCATGTTGTGAATGACTCTCAGCTACTACCATGTCAAATTTTAGCCCAATATGTGTAAAACTGGCTGAGATATACCAATTTTTGAGTTAGCTACTGTCAATTAGATGTTGAGGTCAACATAAAATGGATTGATACCAAAGCTGTAGATCAATCAGCTGTAGATGTCGACCCAAGGAAAGTTTGATCAAATCCTGTTCTGTGATTTAGAAGATATTTTGCTGATGGTGCATACAATAGAACACATACAAGAACTAACACAGACGTGGGCGAATCTATTAGCACTCCACCCTTAGTGGCAGAAGATAATGAATGAAATCCAAAATTGTAGACAGGCTAAAAAAACTACACTGCCCGGCCAAAAAATCACCACCAAAAAAAAAAAAGGTCACACACACACTGTTGGAACGCCTTTAGCTTTGATTATGGCATGCATTCTCCATGGTATTGTTTCAATAAGCTTCTGCAACGTCACAAGATTTACTGTATCTCCATCCAGTGTTGCATTAATGTTTCACCAAGATCTTACATTGATGATGGTAGAGTCTGACCTTCTCCAGCACATCCCAAAGATTCTCAGTGGACTCTGTGGAGCCAGTCCATGTGTGAAAATGATGTCTCATGCTCCCTGAACCACTCTTTCACAATAAGAGCCCCATGAATCCTGGCATTGTCATCTTGGAATATGTCCGTGCCATCAGGGAAGAAACAATCATTGATGGAATAACCTGGTCATTCAGTATATTCAGGTAGTCAGCTGACCTCATTCTTTGAGCACAGACTGTTGCTGAACCTAGACCTGCCCACCTGCAGCAACCCCACATCATAGACCTTAGTTAAATGCAGGTGAACACTTTCTTGGCCAGGCATTGGTCTCATCCAACCAGAGTTTTATCCATCAAGCTTTGCTGCATGCAGTATATCGGTCAGTTGGTCTCCTAAAAACCAGGCAATATCCAAAGACAGAAAACTGGTTCTTACTGCATGACGGGCGAAGGGTAGCCTGCTCGGACTAGCAGGTGATGAGACGATGAAAACCTCATCTGCACCAAGATCAAGTTCAGTCAAACCACTGCAGGAAAGATCCACTTCTGCATTTTGGGAAACATCGCCATCTGCTGTGACTACAGAAACAGAGAAAGAATGGAAAAAGGATAAAATAGCACATCATCATACTGTATATGGTTTCCCCCCCAGATGACTTGGAGCTCAGAGCAGATTCAGAGAAATTGGTGAAGCAATATTTGTGGGTCTTGCAATAAGAATGCAAACTGAGGCTTCCTAGAATCTTAAAATTTTTAAACCTTTTTGCATACAGTATTACATCTTTAAATGTGGATTGCAACAATCTCTGAGTGGAGCAGATGGACATAGGACTGATCACACCCCTGTACTGTACAAACTATACTCTGGGTGCTCATCGTAGATTGAGTGCAACAACTCAGACAAGTCTCAGGCTGAGTTCAGTCCTACTAAGACAGCAGGACAAGACTGTGAAAAAAATGTCTCCTATTTCACTTAACCTACTTTATTTACCCCTATAATTTGCACACTTTTCAAACCTCAAATTTTCACTGTTAAATGAGTGCACTTAAATTCATCAGCTCATTCCAGGAAATTAATATTTGAAAGATTTATATTTATGACAGCATTATCATCATTCCTGAAATTATTATAGTCGATTGTAAAACCCAGTGGTGCACATAAATCTAAATTAACATCCACAGTAATGCGCTTTTCAAGGGCCTGTGGCTTAATGCAACGCCTGGAAATGAGCTCTCTGTAAAACAACATGAACCTATGAAACTAAGTAGCATATACAGCAGTGAGTGTTTATATGATGTGAATGCACATTTCTGATCAGGTGTGTGTCCCGACCTGTGTGTGACTGGTTGTTGCTGTTCTTCTGCTGTGTCTCAGGGTTGGTTTGACTCTCAGCCATCATCTGAAGCTCACTAACCTCAGGACCTGTGTTCTGCGTTTCTTCTGGCACCTAAAACAAAATGCCATGTCATTTTTCTGCAGAGATTCATCCAGCTAACAGCAGTGAAAACACATTTTGTACAGAGTTAAAGCTGAAACTAGTTGTGGGAGGGCCCAAAGATCTGGACATCAGGATAGTGAAAATATTATAAAATGATCAAAATGATGAGCTTTAATAAAAAAAAGTCAGTTTCTCCATTCTTATAATTTATGCTTACTGTATATGTGTTTCATCACATTTATTTACAGTATTGTACTAAAAGTTACACAAATGTGAAAAAGGTCATTTTTTTCCATAATAGCTTGCTGTCATGAAAGGCAATTAAATTTCTTGTGTGTGCGTGTATGTGTGTGGCCTTGTTCCTGCTACTTGGCGGGGACAATTTCTCAGGAAAATGCAGCCTTGTGTGGACCGGATGGTCCTTGTGGGGACCAAAGCCTGGTCCCCACAACTTCAGAGGCTGATTTTGGGTGTGGGGATTAGGTTTAGGACCAAGGTATGAATTGAGTTTAGGTTAGCTTTAGGGTAAATGGTCAGGGTTAGGATATAAAATTTCTAAAAAAATTAATGGAAGTCAATGGAAAGTTCCCACAAGGATAGAGAGACATAGTATGTGTGTGTGTGTGTGTGT